CGCCGGAGCCGCCGCCCCACCGCCCCGCACCACCCGCTGCCACCCGGAGCCCCAAGCCGAGGTAGCCGCCACCGCCGGTTTTCTAAGAAAAGTCGTTTCGGTTTTTTTAGAAACCCTAGTTTTTGTTTTTTTAAATAGATCGGTTTTCTCCGGTTTATTTATTTAGCGAGTGTTCGCTCGTTCGTTCATTTTAACGGACGTGTTCATCGTTTAGTTCCAGTTAACGAATGTTCGTTCGTTAATCTGTTCATCGTTTTTTCTTTTTCTCGGATTAAATCCGCGATTTTCTGATCGCGATTTCTGATTCGGTATTCGTTTTAGTTTAACTTTTTGCTCGTTTATCGGAATCAGGCGATTCAAGCGCCCGGAGTTTCGTCTCGAAACCCTCTTTCCGTTTAACCAACTCAAACAAGTTTTTGCCTCTGTAAAAATTGCCCTAGATTCAGAATAGTAAACGAAGCCTGTTTCTTTTGTCGTTTGTCTTTCGTTGCTTCGTTCGATTTGGTTCTTTTTGCCAACCAGAGTTCTTAAGTTGAACTTTCTAGTTAGATCTCTTATTCGAGTTTTACCCGTGCATTAGATGAGTACTTATTGTATGCTTGTTTGTTCGCGATAGAGTATCCGGAGTGCGCCGCTTGCTACTTCAAATCGCTAGGTTTCACGGATCATCAACAAGGCAAGTAACACTTTGATCATACCTCCTATTACCCAGTTTTTATTGCATTAGATCAATCCTCAGACATTGCATGATTAGGATCTAATTAAATTGTGGGTTTGGGAAGTAGTTGAGGTAGTACCTATTACCTGTTTATTATCAAACCTTTGGGAGTTACTTCTACATTTGCTTTTATGGCATGCTATGCTAGTAGATGTGGATTGGGTGAGTGAAATCCATGACAGATGTGAGATTGATAATTTAATGGTTTATCTAAGGTGGCAACTTAAATACACACATCTGGATGGATTGAGGCACCTGGGTATTCCATTGATTGCTTGTTTTTCATTTGGACCGCCACCCAGATTCAAAGGGATCATGAGATTGTTCATACTAGAAACTTTCGTGTGCAGCCACAAGCTACTATGGGCTCTAGCATAGTTGACTAAGTCGTGCGAACTCTTACAGTGGTAGACTAGCAGATGTAGGGGATGTAGGTTGGTACGGTCTACCCGTTCGTAAGGTGCTAGCGCTTCTGAAAGACTATGTCTCGGTCATCCGTTTCTCAAACATCATGCAGTGCGAGAATCCTAACAGAGGAGATCGAGTCTTGTGGGGAAAAGTGCGCAAACCTCTGCAGAGTGTATAAACTAATCATGGTTAGTCATGTCCCTGGTTATGGACATCTTGAGTATCTAGTACCTGGATTATCATGTGAATCTCATCATGTTACTCTAAATAATTTTGTGGTTTTTTTTTAATGATGATGCTTAATTGGGATTGAGAATGCTGTCAACCATTCTCAATGTTTAACAACTACCATGATAGTTAAATAAAATTTAATTCTTTGCAGTAGGGAAAAATTGGCTTTACGCAAAATTGTAATCATAGAGCTTTCCACCAGCCAAATATGCGTGTAGAATAGCCTTATTCTTTTATTGCTCTCTATGTGTTACATTGCCTGCATATTTCATGTGCTGACCCGTTTTAGGCTGCAATGTTCATGTTGCAGACTTTTCAGACGACGAGTAAGGTGTCTTTTAGGTCGTGGTTCTATACTCAGTGATGCCGTTGGAGTTGATGGACTCACTTATCTTCCAAGCCTTCCGATGTTATCGTTATTAGATGACCTTAAGCCATATTTATTGTAATAAGTTCTCTTTTGAGACACTCGATGTAATAAGTGTGTGATTGCTACTCTACTATAAATCCTCCAAGTAATGTGTGGTGTCAGCATTACTGATCCAGGGATGACACCGGAGCACAGAGATTGGACCGTTTGAGGTCTGGTCGCTACATATATGATGATGATGCACCCCGTGGTCCATGCTGTCCTCGGCTGTAATATAGTTGGGCTTGATGCAGATCCTGTTAGCCCATTACTATTTGGACTGTATCATGTATTGATTTGGCCTTTTGGCTAGCCCATACGTATCCATGGGCCTACCCTATTGGTATTCCTACATCAATGAGCGATCCTCACATATGCTTACATCGTGCAACGTTGACACGAGCGTATTCCCTTCGATTACAAATATAAGATCTTTTGGATATTTTAATATCGCTACATTTGAATTGAAATGAGTTAACAAACACATTAAAATACGCCTATATACGTCCAAATAAGAAAAAATGCTAGAACATCTTGTAATATTGAACGAGGTGACAAGGACAAATGTACGCACGCATGTCACTTCGCAAATGTACGCGCTACATCATACACGTCCGTGCATGGGGCAAATGCAGATTTTTTCTTCTTGTCGCCAGAAAGAGCAAATGCAGACAAGAGGAGACAAGACTAACTAAAATGAACTCTGTTTTTTTTTAGAGATGTGCCATGTTTATATTAATAATATCAACATATTACAACATACATGGCAGATTTGAGGAGAAATCTAAAGAGACAACCCACCAAGAGAAATTGCTAGAAGCAAAGAAAATTTATTGAAAAAATCTTCCTCGTCCTTGCATCCACCAACAAAACGACTATAATCTTCAGCCACCGCCGTCGCTAGAGCGTCCGTTGGAAAGGAGAAGAAGACATCTCCACCAAGCCAAGGTCCAAAAAAAAGCCATAGCAGCAAAACTGTGTTGTGAGCCTCTGACCAGGCGTTGCCACGAACGGCACCGTGTCCGTGTGGATTGTCTACCGGAGCACATCTCCGCTCCTCTTGGGTCGCGATTCTGAAGTACTCATGAGGCAACGCTGCTGAGGGGCTCCAGAACCAGCAACCATCTTTCATCTTTGAAGAAACTCTAGGTGCACGATACCTTAGATGAGACCACCGCTGCAGCACCGTCCACCTCCAACACTAACACTTTCGGCTTCGTGACAACTCCGGAGGAACCGCTGACACGACGTGGACGAAGGCGAAGAAACATGACCCTCGACAAGACCTCCACCGCTGTCTTTAAGGCCTTGCCTAGACACACATCCACGACTCCTCGACACCGTCATAGAACGCCGTCAAGGCGATGACCCGGAAACTTTTATTCCTGACAAAGACATCGGCACCTGAACAAACTAGCCTAGACCTAGACACGAGCCAAAAGAAACCGGGGCTCCCAAACCCTGTCGCCGCCGTTGGGGCAACGAGCGGAGGAAAGGCGAGCCAGCGGCTGTGCCGGCCTAGGAACTGCCTCGTGTATCGCCTCGAGCGAGAGAGGGGAAACGGAACTGCCTCGCGTTGTTTATAAGGAGATCATGAACACTGTTGTTAAGGCCTTCAATTTCCTCTAACCAAAACCAAACAAGTAAAGTAATCTTAATTCGAAAAAAAAACAAGTAAGGAACAGGCCACACCACCCAACAAATTGCCTGAGAACTACTACTGCTTTTGGACCGGCTGAAAGACACTTGAAACCAAAAACGAAGAACACCTACTGTTGGCAATTCACTCGAGATCTTCTCTGTTTAAACATGACACAAGGCGACCAAAAAAGGAAGCACGCGTGAACGAATGGTTTCACCGCATCCCCACCAACGCCGCTGCCGCCGCCGCCTCTTCTCATGGGAGCACCCGGTTGAACACCCGCGACACGTCCGACGGCCGGACGGGCTTCATCAGGAAATCCTCTGCGCCTTCCTCCAAGCATCTGATTATAAACAAGAAAAGGCACCGGCTTTAATCGACGTCTAGTTCCCCATAGGGCAGTACTTGGACATTGCAGTACTCTCCGTAAAGAAATATAAAAGAATTTAGATCACTAAAGTAGTGATCTAAACGCTCTTATATTTCTTTACAGAGGGAGTAGAATTTAGACCTGCTGATCCTGGTTGGCACGTTCTCCGAGGACATGATCACCACGGGGATCTGCTTCAACGTGGATGACTCCTGCGCGATTTTTGCCTCGTAAACTAGATGTGATTTGTGGCAAAAGAAATTAAGATTGCCACTGGGCAGGAGTTTTGGAGAAGAAGAAAAAAATAGAGTACCACGCACCTTGACCTTCTTTAGGAGCTCGTATCCCGTCATCTCCGGCATCCAGTAATCCGTAATTATCATGCTCACATTGGGCTCCTGGACGCGATCCCCAAACGCAGAAGCAGATCAGAAATACGTACTATTCAGAAGATACTAAAAATGCCAAAAGATTACATACAGCCAATAAAGAGACAAAGAGAGAAATCAAAGGCGTACCGATCCTAGCAGCTCCAGGGCCCTCTTCCCGCTATCCACGGCCGTCACTGCCCACGAAACCAACAACAGATGCACTCGGTCACTTCTCATGCATGCAAACGCGCACAGATTCAATGGCGATGCTGCAACCAGACCCACGATTGGACTCACCACGGAACCGAGAGCTGCGAAGGATGCCGGAGATGACGGCGCGGTCGACGGAGCTGTCGTCCACCGCGAGAACGTGAAGAGGCGCGCCGCCGCCGGCCCCCGAAAACACGGCCGTCGTCCCAACCACGCCTCCGGCGACGCTCGACATCTCGAAAGCTTCGTGCCGATCGCTAGGATAGAAAGAAGAAAGATACGCGCGCGAGTCTGTAGCAGTATCTCTCTCGTCTCCCGTGGGTCGTCACAATCAAGAAGGGGCCATCCAGGGTGGTGCGTTTATATGGAGGGCCGAGGGTGAACGAGGGCGAGGGCGAGGGCAACGGGTCTCGGAAAATAGAGAAGGTAGTGCAGCGCGGGAAGATCCTAGTGCAGCTGTGCAGGGATCCACAGGATCTGGATACGGCACGGAGGCCGGATACCACACGACACACGTGCCGGACCGGATCGCGTGTACTTGTACGCGCGCGGCGAGTAAAGCGGAAATCTTCCTCCTGCCTGTCGCGGCCGAGGACGGACAGGATCTCCCCTCTTAAATACCACCAGTCCCTTTTGATGCGTCACATGATCTCCTCGACGATATGATTGTGACGATTCAGCTTAATTAGTAGATAGTGATACGAGCTCGGCCGATCTGTAAATTCATACCATCTGCATGTGCCATAAAACGTTTTCCCGGCCGGTGGAGATATGTTTGTCCCGGCCTGGCCGAGCTGCCTTCGGCTGTTGCCAGCTTGTGCATCAATAGCAATATG